CGTCTACAGATACTTGTTATAGAATGTTCACCTATATATTATCCAATTTTTCTCTCTTTTGTTCCTGCATTTCAACACAAGTACATCACTCCTGAGGTATGATTCCATTTCTTCACATAGTCACCCATTGCAATCGCATCTATTTTGACTTCAACAATCAAGCAAGGCAAGAAGTGAGGCTATCTTTAATAATATTCTTTCAAGAGTATAGGGAAGCATCTTAGATTCAAACCCCGTTGCAAAAGTACATAAGGCATTTGATACAGATCATAAACCGAAAAAAAGGTTTGTTAAAAATCTTGATTTGTTAGGAAGTATGAAAGTTGAACTTTATAACGAAAAAAGCTTGAGTCTGTAATGCATGGTGCGTGGAATCGAGATTGGTGGCACATTGCATCCAACAGTCAGTCAATTAAAGGGTGGGATCTATGTAAAGGTACAAAGTGGACCGAACTTCGATCATGTGAGATGGTCCACACTCTTTTCTTCATATGTCTAGTGGACCTATTCAAACGCTTTCGATTGGGAAGTTTGTGAACATATTCCAGAGGGTAATGTGATCTCTGAAATAGCAACATCTTTTTCTTACCAGCACCAGCCTCAGTGGTGACCAAGTGTAAGTGGATCCATTATACTATTAAGTGTGGTAGTGAGTAGCTCAAATATTTTACATGCAAGAACGAAAAATCAGAAGCATCAGAAATCGGAATGAACGGAGGTGAAACAGTAAATTTAAATGAATTCACCACTCGTGAAAGCAAGAGATGGCTGAAGATCTGTTCCCGTGTCAATGACAGTCAGCCGTGTAAAGTTATCACCCAAAAAGCTGCTTGGCCCCTAGACTGCAACATACAAGATCAATAGGCTCTAGGAGTGCGTTTCCCAAAATGATCTTGCCGTTCTCGCCGCTTCTCTCTCCTCCTTGTGCATGAGAGCAGAGTCGGACGGAGAGAGAGCGAAAACAGTTTGCAACTTTGCATTGGATCTGGACTTGTTGTAGGTGGACCCAGAAGCAGTCAGTGCAGCTTAACTTCTTTACTAACCTCCGGAAAAGAATAATTTGATGTCTTAAAAATATCCAGCCTTATTCGGATGAGAAAAGCCAAAGTGAATTTTGGTTGTCTTTACAGCAATTGCTTGTGATCTGAGCTTCATATAACCGTGAATGCATACAGATCAATAAAATCAAACGTTCAGTGTAAACTCAGTAGATGCCAAATCAAACGTCTGACTTTTGGAACTCGAATGTCATAACCTAAAAGTTGTATCAGAGTGGTGTTGTCTGCTAGCCTTTCAAACCAGACGCGTACCTTGCAAATCTTCGACGCCAAGCATAATATTCCTTTCGCAAGGCACTGGAAAAAGCATAAAAATTATTGTGAGTGGCCGTTAACCCAAAATCTGGTCAAACAAAGCTCAGAAAGTAGGAAACTTCATCGTGATGAATTTACGCAAGCGAGTTGGACTCCGGAAGCTCGACGAATAAAACAATTCAAGCTCGTAGAAATACGAGCTTGAATTGACTTATTCGCATTAGCCCGCACCAATCGAGCGGTTCGTGCTTTCCTTTCTTCATGTGGTGCTCGCATAGAGAAAGAAAATCATGTTCCACGTAAGGACGATGTATCTTTTCGGATCCACCTGCCTCTGGAAGAAGAGAAAAAGTTTCTCTGCCTAGATTTGCGCGACATCCAACGATTCAGTCAAATAATCGTCTGAAATTAGAGGACCAATAACGTTAGCCATGAGAGTTTCATGTCGTTTGAGAAGCCCTCACTTTTCATATGAAAGGAGGCTTTGCCATGGCCATGAGCTTGTTGATGCTGTAGATCTGGTGGTGGACCAAGGAATCTACTCAAGCATCACTCCGAGTCTTTGATCATGGCACAAGATGATAATGGGCTCCCGAGATCTGAATTTCTACAGAGGCGCACATACTGTTGATCATTCCATCCAGATTTGTGTATCCAGTACCGGTAATCTAGATCTCGTTCATGCAGTTGTTAGGTAGACTCGGAAAAATCTTTCAGCAGGACCATACAACATTCTCCCACGAAGATTATCTGCAAAAGTAAGTTAAGGCGATGAACGGGTAACGACCAAAAGACAATGGGGTTTCTAGGTCGTTCGATCGATCCGAGGATCGAGAATCAAATGCCTGCCAGTTCTTGCAAACAGACTAAAATCTTCAGCCTTATTTGACAGCGGTTGGCCTATGGCTACACGCGTAATTCCGGAAGGAGCACGCCGCGACAAATAACCTCCAAACGGATCGGATCCATCGCAGAATTGACAGTAAAATGGATAAAGAACGGAGGCACCGGACTGGACAGGCGAGGGCGAGGCAGGACTACGCTTGCGGTGGACGAGAAGGACAGGCACAAATCAGTTTTCCGAAATTATTAGGCCTGTCCCCTGAGTTACGTGGCGTTTAGACGGAGAAGGAGCCGGGACGGCCCTTCCCTGCTCCTGCAGCGGACCAGCAGAAGGAGGAGGTGATTTGGATGCGAAGTCCCATCGCTCATGGATCGAACTGCCAAGACCCCTTCCCCTCTGCGTGCCCGGAACCATGCACCCTCGCAGGCAAACTCGCAACTGCGGAATTGCGGAAATGCGCAAATGCGGAAATTCCCACATCGACAAAAACGTGGGAATGATTCCCACCTTCCACCTCCGCCTCTCGCTCGCTCCGCGTCACATCCCAACAGTAGGTTCTACGACGAGCCGGGGCCCTGGACTCCACGATGATCGAAAGAGACCGCGCAAAAAGGTTCTTTCTAAACCGCCTGCCGCGCTCCTCCTGCTAAATTCGAAGCTTCCACGAACATCGGCCATCACTTCCGAACTGCACTGGGCTCACCGGTGCGGTCGCCCGTATCGTACTCCTCCAGGCTTTCCTCCGATAACCGGAACCTCCGAGATCCACCGCCCGCCAAGAGCTCCCACTTTCGTGCTCCGATGTCCTGTCAGAGCCCGTCGGCCTCGCCGTCTATCCGGGCGCTCCCGTGTCCGCCTCCAGATTTAGCCGCGGTTAGAGGCGTAGCGGCGGAGCTTTCGTCCGCTTCTCGACCTCCCGAGCAGCGTAGTCAAACGGGAGCAGCGTAGTCAAACGGCCCTGGACTCCACGATGATCGAAAGAGACCGCGCAAAGGTTCTTCTAAGTTGTCGACTCTGCTCGAGTTGCGCCTTTGCTTCCTTTCGACGTATATTTTCACACTTTCAACTGCAACTACAATTAGACTACTTCTACATATCAATTTTGGTACGAAACACTTCATAGTTTCTGTAGTTTATCTAGACACAAACCTTATCGCCCGCATAACCATCTTGACTATACTCTTTTTTGCAATTATAGACTGCCAGATTGATTGGGAAGAGAGAACTTTAGGGACCAAGCGAGAAATTAGTGTGGGTACATCGAATAGTGCCGGCTTGAATTTTTAACTGACTCTAAAACATATTAGCGCGCACACAAAACGAGGAATTAAGCGATTATTGTGGAGAGCTGCAGCGACGAATAATGACAATTAACTCAGCTGTGAACTCATTCGAGTTCAATAATGATCACCAATCAAATATATAATAATTCATCTTTGATCCATGAAATATCAGATTTTTTACAAGTTATGACATACAGCTGCGTTGATTCTCCAAGACCTACTGCAAACTAATTTTGCGTTTCGAATTCTTGTGATCATATAGTCTGATACCCTAACCCTCAATCATCGCCGCTTTTTAAATACTCTTAATCTGAAGAATGGAATTTACGCATACACTAATTAGGCTACCTTGTTTAACTTACCACGCTGGGGTTAATGTCTAACCTTTGTATAGCGTTTTCTTCCAACTTTGTAAACTAAACCCTAAACCCCGAACCTGTGTAGGGATGCAGTCAAGGCCTCTCTGAAATCTGAAAACATGTCGTTGCTACTTTTTTTCCGATTACGCTCGGATCACGTCTCGAAATTGTCAGTGAAGTAGACATCAGATTATTCATGTGCTCCACGTGCGGACATTTTGCGGAGCTTGGCGCAGAGCAGTACGGGACGTCTGTGTGATAGAGATTCGTGAGAAGGGTTCAGTTTTCTTGTCACATGGTTCGTCTAGATGTGCGCGAGCAATTTTGCCCTGAAGATTAAATGCTTGCCTGCTGTTTAGGGGGCAACGATGTTTCAGGTGGAGCGCTGGCTGGGAGGAGAAAGCCGGAAGCGTGGTTCTCCAATACTATTAGATCGTTTGAATGCCAGAGCTCGGGAGCGGGCTGCTCTGCTTCCGCTTAGAGAGAAAGCGGAAGGTTCTTCTCCAGGTAACAGGGAGAAAGTCTCGAACAAGGATTCTGATCCTGCACTGAGTAGAGATGAAAGCAAGGAGGGAGCCTCAGAGGTTGTGGTTGAGGAAGAATCTAATGCAGAGAGCGAAATTGAACCTCATACTAGGCGAAAAAAGCGAAAGCAACACCAGGAACACAAGGCAGAATTGGCAACCTTGATTGACCACGAAGCTCCTGATTCTGCTGTAAAGATCAAAAAGCACAAGAAGCTGAAAGTCTCGGATACGACTGAAGAACATGTATTTCCTCTGGAAGCTCCTGCTTCTCCTGGAACGGAAGAACAGGAAAGGAAGGTGAACGATACTTTAACAAGTGAAGATAATATAGAGCGAGCGGAAGAGACTTCTGCAGCCGACATCGACAGAAGTGTCCCGGAGCTGGTTGAATTTCAAGTGTCCAATTTGGAGAAGAAACGAAAGAAAGAAAAGAGGTTGAAGATACGAAGATTGTGGTTGAGACTTTGTGAGGGTGGAAACCCGTTCACTAGTCCTTACCAATTTTCCAAATTATTGCGGGGAAAGGGGGGGCTAGGAAAATTTGCTCCGAAGGGGAGGGGAATTTCTCGACCGCAGGGGGGGCGTGCCCCCCACTGCACCGCACCCCCACTTAGCTCCGCCACTGGGTCCACCTACAGAACCAAACAAAATGGGGACGCACACAGACAAATTGAGGCCACACGAATTCATGCCAGGGTATGGGTTCGATTAGTTTCAGTGAATGTTCGACATGGAGTATACGCAAGAATACCGTTTGCTGTAATCCTCACACTTCTTTAGGTTTTGGACGAAAAAGATCAAGGTATGCACTAGATCATGGTCAATGTCGGCCGTCAAGGCTAGCACTGTCTGCGTTACTGCCAACCAATTAATCTAGTTGAATGTTTAGGTCTACGACTAATTAAAACAATGTATAACACAACGTTCAAATGTGGAGTAAAAATTCTTAAATGGATGGCAAATGCTTTTATCGAGAGAGATTTCCGCTCTATGTACAGAATGCACGTTTTCTTCAGCATGATAGAGAAACCAGGAAACCTTCATGCTCGAAAAGATGGTCTGTCAGAGGAGGGAGAGCGGGACAATAACGGGCTTCATCTTCGTCGTTGTTCTTGAAAGCGTCAAAATCGTCCTCGTCGTCGTCCACATCATCAACAAAACTCAGAGGGCGCTTACGCGCATCGCGAGTGGTGGCGTCCAGAAGATCCACGGGCCGACTTCTGGAACTGGGACCGGGACTGTGAATGAGGAAGCTGACGGCATCTTGGAGCGACTGTAATGCAGCATTCACGGCCACCGCAGCACCGAAAGCCGCGCCCAGGGCGACCTGTCTTATATCCATACCCCGCCGCTCCAGGCTCTCCTCTCTCCCTCCGACCGACGGCACTCGATCACTCTCTCGTCCTCCGCCTCCTCTCGCTTGCCGCCCTCTTCCTCGTCTCACCTAAAGAAACCCCATCGCCTCCCTATTCCACAATCTCTCGTCGTCTCGACCCATCCCACCATCCTCATCTCCACGCCAACCAACTGCCGCCGGAATCTTTCACCCAAATTCCACAATCGCACCCACCAAACTGCCCGACGACATGCCGAATAAACTTCAGCTCATGTCGTGGCGCCTCCGAATGCCAAAAGCCCACAGAAGAATGCGATTGCCACACTCCTCGACCTCGACCTGCTCGTCGTCCATGGAGCCTGCTGCCATCATACAACGACAGAGAAGGACGATCTTCCTGCGGCAAAGCAGAGTTCATATTAATCTTTCATTATAGCAGCCCGACATCTAGGGTACCCTACATTTCGGTCTCCATGAACACCCATCCCGAAATCTCGACCGGTCATCGGGAATTTCAGAATATTCCCTGGACTTCTTCCCGAAGTCTGTAGTCGTGTTTTCGGCAATGTGTCTCAGGAGATGTACGCTTCGGATACGTACGTGGAAAGGGGCTCCGGTCCCGTGAGGTACGCTTCTGAGGTCAGCGCGACGGAGCTCTGTACCCGAGAGTTCAGAGTTCCACTTGGCAGATGTGAGACGAAGGCCACGGCCTCGACTGCGCATTGCGAATTGCGGTCGCGAATTTGTCAACGCTGCTGCCCGATGTTCATGGACACGGCCGGCCTATTCATGAGCCCTCGACGATGGATCTGCACCCAGCCAGCAACGAGGTGTTGCTGTGTTCTCAGGTGCCTTGGTTTGGGGTAGAGCAGCAGTGAGTGAGCTCAGTGGGAGAGTTTTGGTGGGAGTGATGGAGTTCAGTGATCGACGGCTGCTTTAGTCGAGGAGTGTTCTCTCTCTCTCTCTCTGTGGCTGGTCGAACGAAAGTGTTGGCAGACGATTTTGGTTTGCTTTTGGAGCTGGAAATCAGATTGCCTGGCAGTTCAGGGAGGGAGGAAGGGAGGGATGGGGTCTGTGAATTTCGTTCTTGCATCCAGGGCAGGACGAAGGTGGCGGATGGATTCGCTTTCGTTTCTCGAGGAGAGGTTGCGGATTGGTTCTGTCTTCGAATGGCGACTGGGAGATGGGAATGCGTCGACTGCAGGGCAGCTGGCAAAAGTGCGTTCATCATCGCCGCTGCAAGTGAGGATGGATTTTACTGCACGGTTTAATCGTCAACATCCACGATTGCATCCAGGTTTGTCTATCATGTTTCCATGTTTTCAGCAAATGTTTAATAAGTTTCATCTTCAAAGCACTAAATTGTACACATCACCTGCGAAGATTTTGCACTGTTTCATCCTGATGAGCTGAGTTCGTCTCGGGGGACGACATGGTGATGGGCAGATTGGGGCCAGTGCGCAGAGTTATATTTTGCCGTCCAGAGTGATCCAGTCGTCTGTCGTTAGTCTTTACTGAAGCTCTCGATCGTGGAAATCCAGTTTTGACAATGATGCGCAGCCCTAGCAGCCCTAGTCATTTGGTTGCCGCCAGCTTCAGCAACTCTGGGCCATCTCTGAGCTCTTGCACGGTCACTTTGGAAGACGTGCTTCAGTTCTGGTTTGTAAACCCTTGTTCTTTACTCACGAAGCAATTAATTATCGAGCGTTTCAGTTCACTCAATGCTGATGAGTCTGGCTTCCTGTCAACACCTGACTGCACTCCAAAGTCATCTCCTCGAGACTAGCTAGCCCATCAGAAGTCCTAAGCATTGCTATCTCCTCATTTCGTACTTAACGCTCATGAGTCTTCGCTCTTAGTATATCCCTCTGTAATATAATCGGCTTTGCAGTTCTTCAAATGGGCCAGTTGGAAGAGAGCTTCTGATGTCAGTGCAGTTTCAGTAGAGAAGGGTTTAGGGTTTTAGGGTGGAGTATATCAAATCCAGCTTTGACGACCCGATCTTATCTTGCCTGGTGAAAGAGATGATTCAACGCGTGTGCTTGCGAATTTGAGTTGGGTTTTAAGCAACAGGAACAAGGTTTAAATCTATTTAATTCTTTAAGACAGCACGAAGGTATAAGGGGTGCCGTCGCACGGTGTTCACGAGTGCTTCAGAATCAAGCGTTACTCCCTCCAACGAATGAGGCCCGGAAGTGCTCCCTTCCTGTGCTCCCACAAACCCCGGAAGGCAGCTTGCGAATTTGATGATACTGGATGGTTTCATGATTCAACAACAACTGGTGTTAGCGTTTTCCAGGCACAGAGACGTAGATGCGGAAAAGAATGTGTTTGCGAGTAAGAGTTGGTTCATGCGTGGTCCTGATTTCGACCGAGAGGTAATCTTGGACCCTCACTCTGTCTCTTCGAATCATAGAATGAGATGTTCCATTTGGACCTCGTGAACCTCATCTTAGTCCTTACATGGACGATGAGTACATGTCAGGGAATCTCTGGCGTGAATGAACAGTCCTTTTGACATTTTCCGAGGAAAATCAAGAATTGAACCACTTACCATCAAGCCTCTTCAGAGGTTCTCGAAGAGGCTTTAAGGAGAACCTGACGCTCTAAAACCTGTAAGGCGTTAGACTGGGAGCACAGGAAGGGAGCACTTCGCGTTGGTGTTCTCTTTTGAAACATGTTGACCATTCGGATCAGCAATCTGACGAGGGAGATTATTACAAACTACCTCAACCGAGTCCTGTATATGAAAGTCAGTCAACCTTCGGACCTGACACCATTTCGCATTACCGACTATTTAGAGCTTCTTAAGGAAAGAAGCTTATGACTGACTTCTTACTCTGTCCATCAACCTTATTTGTGGTTCATCTACTAGAGATTTTTCAATCCATCTATTGAATATGTTATACATGGCAACTTGACGAACTTAAGTATAGCTCTGAATTGCACTGAATCACATTCTCTGTTCAGTGGAGTTCTGAATATTGGATGTTTTGAGGACCTCGAGGATTTGGTGCTACATATTTTTTCCCCTTGAAAGTTTTCTTAACACCGTTTTCCACCATGTTTATGGCTGAAGAGTGTGAGTGGTCTAAGCTTAGAGATTAAGACAGTAGTCATGTAAGTAGGCAGGCTTTATTTGTTTTGGTCTGAAAGTCGTAACATGCATTATTCAGGTGGAGATGAAGTTTGGCGAGTGTGTGAACTTAGCAGCCGAAGGGGCCCTAGATGGATGGAAAGATAGTGTGCGCAGTAGGCTTGCTCTTGTGATCGTATTGGACCAACTTCCAAGGAAAATCTATCGGAAATCTCCGAAAGCTTATGCGTAGGATGAGATTGCTCGGAAAATAACTCTGGAGACGATCGAGCAGGTACGTTTCTCTCATGTCACTGTATGCACTTTTTTTTCTTACCCGGAAGGTGTCACAGTTTCACAAGATCTTACCAAGGCCTTCAACCTTGGTAATCTCGTTTCTTCAGGTTACAGCAGTCTTTGACACCATCGCACCAGCAGTTGGTCTCTCAGTGGGACTAGCTGTGGGACAAACGTCAATTGTAGCTGAAGCGGCTGAATTGGTTCAGATTCGTAAGTCGATGGTCCACAGTTTTGGAAAATCTGAGGCTGCAACTCCCGACCTTGCCGAAAGCCAAGTTGACAGACTTGTTGCAACTCCAGGGCGCTTGATGGACCATATTCGAAATACAAAAGGGTTCACTCTTCAGCACCTACAATTTCTCGTGAGTTTTTTTCCGTGGTGATACTATTGCCTTTGTTTCTCTATAGCGTCATCTTTCTACAAAGGCCGTGATGAGGCCTATATAGATTCTCTAAATTGTTTCATTTTATCAATTCGAACGATATGTCACAGAGGTTAACAAACTATTGGTTTGTCTGTCAGGTTGTTGATGAAACAGATAGATTGCTACGGCAATCTTACCAGGAGTGGCTGCCAAATGTCTTGGCGTGTGTTTCTGCTTCTGGCCCGATGTTGTCTGGACTAGCGTTTCGAAACTCTCATCCTGGCTCAGTCCGCACCATTAGAAATTGGTACGGAATGTCCGGATTATATTCACATGGTTTGATCCTCTCGTTTGCTTATTTCTGTTGCTTCTGGTCATTTCATGTCTATTCTCATAATATCGAAACCATCGTAATACGTCGCTGACGCCCTGAGGCAAAAGGTGGACGCAACTACATGAATAATGAGCTTCACTGTAGAAAAAGCTGGGCATTAAGTTTTTAGCAATTACGTGCAGCTGTCTTGAAAGAGGAAATAGAGGCACTGCACTCCCACGATTGATGAAGATGGTGTTATCGGCTACCTTGACGAGAGATCCAGCAAAAATTGCACAACTTGGTCTTTTCTGCCCCATATATGTGGCGCCTGGTGCTGCTGGCAACCGGTATCAACTACCAGAACAACTTAAGTCTTACAGGATGGTACGTATCTCTGTTCACACACGTTGCCACCATAACTTGTTGCTGACTCAATTTAGTTCACGTAGCCTTGGAGCTTGTGTTTGTTCAAACCTGCATCGCATGATCCGTAACAGAAATTGTTGTCCTGAACATCTCTGCAGGTCTGCAAACCGGGAGAGAAGCCCTTATATTTGGTAGCACTCTTGCAACAGCTTTGCAGCCAAACAACCGTTGTTTTCACTGCTTCTGTAGTGGCTAGTCATCAACTATATACTCTGCTAAAATGCTACAAAGGATTGTCGTTCAAGGTGCTTGAGTACTCAAGCTTGCAGCATTAACAACCCCGCAGGTTTGTCCAACACGTGTGTGCTTTTGATGGGTTATGTAGACCAAATAACTAATAAGTATATATTTCTACATACAGACCTCTAAGTCGCAGGTTATTTCCTCTTTCTTATGATTTATTGAGCTTGGGGTGAATGCCCAAGTCGGTTTCGTTCGTTTGTTATCCGACATTCGTAGCTGGCTTCAATAATCCTAATGACTTGCCTCGGTTTCGTTCGTTTGTTATTCGACATTCGTAGCTGGCTTCAATAATCCTAATGACTTGCCTCTATATTATGCTTTACAGTAATGCGTTGGCAAAATTCCAGAATGGCCAGGCACAAGTGCTCATTGCCTCAGATGCGATGACAAGGGGTATGGATGTGGAAGGTGTTGCAAACGTTGTCAATTATGATATGCCTGTGTACGCAAAGACCTACGTCCATCGTGTTGGGCGCACTGCTCGAGCCGGACAGCCCGGGAGCTCTTATACTCTTCTTCAGAAGGAGGAGGTTCGCTTTCTGAACATGCATAAACCACAAAGTAGTTTGATCTACATTCCATATAACAAGTTCAATAGCGCTGTATCCGCTTCCTCCCATGTTGCTCTGGCTTATTCAGCGCAGACCATCGTCTTGTTGTCTTTGTTTTTCGGTTGTGCATAACGGCCTGCAGTCATCTAACCCGCTATGTGCGTTGATCTGTAACCTGGGGATGTTTGCGCAGGTACGACACTTCAAACAGATGTTGAAGAAAGTGGACAATAGCAAGTGCAAGGACTATTCACTGCCGTCATCTGTCACCGAAGAGCTTTATGAGTCTTACACTGAAGGTACGCGTCTCACACAGGGTGTGGTTTTCTTTCTGGGCTGAAGGCAGCTCTGTCTAGATAACCACCTGTGTCTGATATTGTACTTAATCGTAAATCTGCTTCGGACCAATGCAATGGGATGTGATATTTTCAGAACTTTCGAACCTACGCTGTCTTTGCTTTGTTTCGTTTTCGGTACTTCTCTAGCTTCACACAATTACCTTACAGTGGGTATGTTGCATTGTGCTGGACGTGCAGCTCTGGAGAAACTGAAGAAGATAACAGCAGACGAGGCAGCATGAATTTCACATGGCAGTCGGACGCAGACAGAAGGGGAAAGTAAAGTTACTGGGCCGGACGAGCTTTTCATATGACCACGAGATATCACTCAGCGTTTGGAGTACGATGATATATTCATCCCTATCTTCTGTCCAATTGAAGAAACACTGTGTGAACAATACGAAGAGCTGGTTGCTGATCGGATTCATATCAGTACCTTCATTGTGCAATCCTAGTCCAGGATTAGAATAATTCGGTTTCGTCTTCACTTTAATTCACCTGTAAGTCGAGTAGCTGGGTTCCTGAGGAAGGTTCCGGGAGGTTCCCCTTCATGTATTCTTCAAGTTCGCAGCTTAGGCCCGAACGACCGCATGTAGGAGAAAATTGCCATCCTCACTTTGGTTGGCGGCGTCTGTTTGTGAATCTGTCTGCGCCAGATTTCTTCAGTAAAGTTTACGTTGATGGTGAAGATTATTTCCCATGGAGTGCTCGATTGTAAGGAGGAGTTTCTCCGAGTTCTCTGTTGAATACTCTGTTGTCCTGTACAACTTTTACATGAGACGAGATAAGCTCAGTGCACTTCCAGGCAGTAGAGAGCGGCTAGTTCTTGTCTGGCATCTACATGTAGGGATGGGCACGTAGCCGGCTAACTTTCGGCTAGCCGGCTTGGCCTCAAATTTAGCTGGCTAGCCGTCGGCTAATCGGCTCTTGCCCGAAAATGTAATCAACGGAAAAATTCGTCCGAAATAAATGTTTATTGGATAATTTTGGTCGAAGTTGAGGAAATAATCGGGCGAAATCGTAAGTTCGGTCCGAGTTTATGGTTCGTTTTCGGCCTCGGATAGAGGTGGCAAATATTTATCGGCTAGCCGGCTAATATTTTTTGTTAGCGGAGCCGTGCCCATCCCTATCTACATGGGAGTAATCTATTATCGTCTCAGGATCTTGGATATATATCTTAGACCTGAGACATGTCGAGATATGACAGGCAAGAGGTTGTCAAGGTCGACGAAAATAATTTTTCAGATGACTTACATACAGATACTCCTCAGATCCACAACGCGACGAAGCAATGTCCGCAGTCACATCTCTACGATCTGTGCGCAGTACTACACAGATTGCCTCACCAATGTCTACGTTGTCGCGGTCCACGTAGCCCAAATAGGGCTACTCTTGAGCTTCACGAAATAAACTATCCAATTTGATGGACTGCAAACAAGACCATTACGATAAACTAGTGATAATTTAGCCAAAATCTGATCTTCTTCAGAACCATAACTGCGCGATTGACATGATTGCACATTTTATAAAAGATTGTTACACGTGAAAACTCTAAGGAAGATTTTGCAGAGGTTCATATTGCATGAGTGTCTAAACATATGCTTGTCAACAGAATGTCATGATACATCATGACATTCTAAGGTCTTCAATTTACTACCAAAATGTGAGCTCTAATACCTTTACTCATGCACTCCTCGCACACCCATGCATGCCCACCTAATTCTAGTCTCACATATTTCACCTGATACAACTTGAAGATTGTCGAATAGCGGTCTCGAAGCTGGGGCGCAAGAGTTTGCTGAATCCTCAGCCATGCTTCTTTGAGCTCCATGCTTTCCCCACCTTTTAAAACTGCACTACGATCACTATAGCTAATGCCATCTAGTTTAACAATATCAGATTTTAAATCTGCCCAGTCCGGAATCGCTTGGCCCAACCCGAAGGTTACATCTAGTCCAGCCTTCACAGCATAATACATGACTTTGAGTGAGATTTCAATGGTTTTGCTAATCCATGCGCGATTATTCAGATCCACGCGTATCTTTAAACCTTCTTGATCTTTGACTATGTGAAATCCAGTCGCCGATTCACACATCAAGTGTAACCGAACGGTTTTTCCAACATGCAGATGCGCACTCATCTTATAGAAAAGTCCAACATCATCCTTGACGTATGGTCGTTTGGGAGTTCCAGCCTGCTGAAGCGATTGAGGATACTCAATGATCCTGTCCACTTTAGACATGAAGGCGCTAAACGTTGACTTCACTTCTTGTTGCAAAGAGAGTATATGCTCCACCTTGATATCCATCAATCTCAACCTCTGATCCAAACCATCAACCTTTTGTACTAGTTGATCGATCTTGTTCTCAAGTCCGATAGAACCATGTTGTACACTTGTGCTTGCCCGACTTAAGCACATGGATGAAGGTCGATTGGATTGTTTCATATCAGGAAAACTCGATCTACTAACCATGTTCTCATTTTCAGGATGAGAATGATTCAAGTCATTGTTCACTTCGATTAAACCTTGCTGCAATGACTCCAATTGTTGCATTCGCTTCTGTCGGATCTCATTCACAACCGCTTCAACATCGCTCTCCCACAACAAATCTCTAGCGCTTTCGGAAATTACCCCTGTGTGTCCTTTAATCGAGGGCCAAGAGTGCTCATAGCTGAACAACGCTTCCTCCTTCTCCATGTGAAATCTATTCAACTGAATATCCTCAAGTTTGTCATTGATGCTATCAATGAAGTTT